AAATGTTTGAAGTCCCATGGAGGCTGAAACTTAGCTTCCAGTGTTGCCAATCTTGGCTGTTAAAAATCAAATAGGAGATCAGTGCTGTAGGTTCTTGCTATTAACGTATCTCAGCCAACCACAGAGCGTTATCTAATGAAGGTATCCTACAATTTTAACAATATATATATATATTCTTAGATTATTATCAGAGCTCTTGAGAAACTTTGTCTATGCATGGACAGGAATTGTGCTTTCAGATCACCCAGGATTTTGAAACATTCATCTGCAGCATTTCTGCCGGTTAAGGTTCAGAGGCTGAATTCTCCTGGCAGTATCAATAGCAAGAAGGTTTCCTCTTGAAGGATACAGCAAAGCAAAGTACTGACAACTTCTGGTTTGGTGGTGGTTGTGGAGTGTGAAGTTGGTTGAACCAGGTCAGAATGATAGGCTATTTCAAAGGAAGGGTGAGGTGACATTTAGCTAAGCAGGAAGTTGTTGTGTTTATAGAAAGGCAATCTCGATCAAATATATTAAGGCTGGGGTTGCATGCTGTAATATACTGCATCTTATGGTATGGCTCCCATCTTTGGATTAATGTCCTGGTTTGACGTAAAACAGAACCAATTTTTCTGTTCAGTAATTTTACTTTGCAGCTAAGGCTCTTCCTGCTAACTCAACTCTCTGGTACCTCAAACCAGGACAGTTCCTGAGCTACACCATTTTAAACGTCTCCCCAAAACTATCACTGAAATGTCTCCAGAAAATCAGATCCTATCTCAGTCTAGAGTGAGAATGCAAAAAATGTGGACTCGGTATTTCCTGTGGAGCCCCATCTGGAGCAGCACAGCGGCTCTCTGGTGGCTCAGGATAATTGAGTGGTTTCCTGACTTGCCCGCAGAAAGGCGGCTTTACTTGGATAATACTTTCATTTCTTGGTTTGCATTTAATTTTGTGTTCATTTGATTTTCATATTTTATTTCTTGTTTTCGTGCCTCCCAACTAAAAGTTACCGATAGGTAGTAGGTTTGTGTTTCTTGACGTTATTTTTAAAACGATGAAGCAAAATAATTTTCTGAGGCAGCAAGTGCTTTACATATGTATGTAATCTTGTTGGTCAGATTCTGATTATCACAATATCCTTTTACTAGGGGTATGCGCCATAGCTGAAATGTCTGTGGAATGTTTTACTTAGTACAAACCGAATGTCGCATTTTACTGTGTTTTGCAATGTAGTGGTTAACCTGACTTCTGCTGATGTCAACAGAATTTTGTTTGTTAAGGATTTGCCATGGAATCAGCCTTTTAAAATATTTTTATTAATGGCCTTGGCACTAATCTTCAGGTGATGAAGAGCTGTGAGATATCATCAGTACAGAGAAGGAATAGACTAAGGTTGGAAGAAAGTAATTATGTTTATAACATTGAATAGAGGGATATATAGGAATCATATAACCAGATGAACCCTATATGATGATATATAACCAGTAACAAGAATTTTTGCTAGAAACTAAAAAGGAGACACACCTGTGTGCTTTGAAGGAGAAGAATGAGCCATTGTCATGGTGAAGTCTTGAGTAAGGCAAATGCAAGAACAGGGTATTTGAGGGGAGGTGGTGGGTGCTTGTCACTCACAGTATGATAGAATCATAGAATCATCTAGGTTGGAAGGGACCTTTAAGATCATCGAGTCCAACCATCAGCATAACACTGCCAAAACCGCCACTAAACCACATCTACCTGTGCACTGACCCAGGAGATTTTCTATGACCAATATTTAAGTTGCTGACAGCACTTTTAACAGTTAACAGGCTGCTCCAGCAGTGGCCAAAGCCCCTGCCTTTCTGTGTGTCGTGTAACTTCCCTCTCCATGGAATGTGCTTGTTTCAGTACGTTTCAAGGACAGTGTTCAATTCAAGAACACAAATCCAAACTATTACGATGACGTTATGCAAGAACAACCAGTTTTCAGTGATACGTTGTCTGTGAAGCGTGTTAGAAATACCATTTCTAATTTCCCTGCTCTGAGCGCTTGGAAGGTGGTTTCTAGAGAATTAACAAAAAATTTACCCATATTTTGGGGGCTTTTTATGCAGTGCTAGGCTGTGACGTCTTATGATGTTATCTATTTGGGCTTTATGTGTACATTGTAATGCTTACGAGGAAACTGGGTTTCTCTCTAAACTTAAGGTTCCTGAAGTATTGGCAGTTTTGTATATCGATGGCAAGAAAGAGAATGCCCAGTAGATTTTTAAACAGTTACACGTTTTGACCATTTGAAATTACATAATAGATAATATTATACTAGAATGATCACTGTAATGGGACGAGTAGTGGATTAAATAGAAACCAGTCTTATTTGGTCACTTAGATGACAGCCGAAGTGGGGACAAGAGGAGGTATTATGCAAATGTATCAATGGAAACAAATTCCCACAAAAGAAATTGAGATGACCGGAATGTAAGAAGGACCCTGGCTGTTACCTGTCTGTCTTACCAGTGTCTGTGGTTGATGATGCCCAGAAGGGAAGGACAGTGAAGTGGCCGTTGAAAACAGGTGACAGTACAAGTGAGCAGGAGGTTTAAATGATGCCTCTGTGAATTGCACTTAATTCTCTGTTCCGCCCTTGGGACCATTCTGTTGTGGTTGCGCTTGGAGTGATTTAAGATGTGGTACTTCTGTTCTCCAGCCGCACCGCCTCTAAGCTACTGGTCTAAAGTAGGCAGAGAGCAGAAAGAAATCGAGACATGTCTTAGTTCCACTGCAGATCTCCTTTGCAATCCCTGTCCCAGCCCGTGGGCTTTTGCTCTGCAGGCACCACTTGAGAGCTTTATGATGGGAGAATCTTACTTAGGCAAAGCCAGGCTGTCCAAGGATCCGCACGTAGAAGGTAAAACTCACCTCCTCTCAACGACTCATAGTGCCAGCTTCTCCATGGCACGGACCTATTGTTTTGGACAGTGAACATCGATGACTTGCATCTGCTTAGCTTTGCAAGCCTTCAAGTGCCGTGGAGTACCCTGTCGGGTATTACCACGTCTCTAGTAAATGCACTCCTATCCTGATTGTATCTTATAGTTTCAATTTAGCAGCCTTGAAAGCTGCTTTACTATTCCTGGGTCATTAACAACCCTAGTGTGAAAGTATCCAAATTGCACACCTGTGTGTACTTCTGCACTTCCCAAAGAGTGACTCAGGCTTCTCTTTCAAACAGTAAAATTAATGTTTCTTTCACGAAATACCAGTTTCCTCTGGTGTTTATTCCAATCCTCTGCTTCTTTGGATTGCAGATGCAGAAGAAGAAATAAAAGGGATTGAATTGACATGCTTCTATGCAGGAAGGAACACTGTGAAACCTAAGAGGGATTTTTTGAGATATCAACCATGAGCTGGCAAATACATCAGCCATGAACTGGCATATATCTTGACAGCTTCAGATAAATTCAAGCCAGCAGTATTGCCAGTGACTGATTTGTACTGCAATTAACAGGATTTGGGACCAGCATTCTGGCCACGATGGGAGTACTGGAGATGTCAAGTGATTTGATTTTTTTAATTTTTTTTTTTTAAATTATTTTTTCAGGGTGTTTTTCAGCTTCCATTTCTCTGTTTCCTTGAGCAAAACAGCTAGGCGCAACTGATGCAGCAAACAGACATTGTTGTCACTCTTCTCACTACTTAAACTACTAGTTCCTTGCATAACACCTGAGTTGTTCTCTGTTACCGAGCTGTCACTTAACTGGAGAGAACTGCTGTTAGATGAAGGAGAGAAGAGAGATCTCTGCCCTCTTTCTCTCCCTTTCCCTTGTGCTGTCAGCTTTGGCAGGGTTCTCTGGTAGGGATGAAGGGAAGAGGAGCCAAAGGCGCAGTAGGTGTTGTGCAGGGCAATGCTTGGGAATGGTATCGTCAGAGAGATGCAAAACGTGATTTTTTTGATATATAGTAAGTGATTGTTTGGTCCTGCCTGTATTTAGACCTGTATTGCTGCTGTTGAGTATATGTACCCTCATCTGCCATTAAGTCTTTGTCTTTTGGAAAGCAGTGAGTCTTTGCACAAAATATACTCAGATATTATATCTAAAATATAATGTACTTTATATTGTATTTTAGGTGCAGGCTGAAGGGTCAAAAGTCTGTTCTTCAGGTACCCTTCCAGAAGGAGGTTCAGGAGATGTTAGGCTTCCTCTTAAAGGCAGCGAAGAAAGGCAGAGCCCGAGTTCCACTCCCAGAAGTCAGTAAAATATTAAACTCTGCTAGATTTCCCATCTGTACTTCCTTATCTGTATTTCAGTTTCTCATCCAGCCTAATAAGTACTATTTGGCTTAAGTATATCTTTCAGAAAGACATCCAGACTTGCCTGAAGACATCAGGTGATGGAGAATTCACCACTTTTCTCAGTTAATTAATGAAAAGGAGTAGTTGATGACAGACTGATTTATTCACTAGTTCAGTTGCAGCTGGAGAATTTATTGCCTGTGGTTGATGTGAAAAAGCAGCAATGTGGTAACTTGGTTTGGTAAACACCTGCATTTTCATAGCATCTACTCTAGAAGACAGACTAGAGTTCCTAATGTATGGTAGTTACTTTTCTGGAGATGTAAAGCAGAAGTAAACTGTCATGGCTGGTAAGTTGCATCTACAATGTTTTTATATCATCAGAGAAGTAGGTAAACATCAGAGAATTTTGTTTTGAGCCTGAGCCTGGAAAAAATCCCTGACTCTAACCCAAGAATCCTTAGCCTCGTGATATTGAGTTTACCTAGGTACCACATTACATGGAGTGTGATGCATCAGATGTGTTCACCCTGGTATTCCAGCCACAGGTAAAAGGAACTCTTGTTTATCGCTTTATATGCTATTAAACCTGTTTTCATGAGCATGCAGTATCTTTATGCTTCAGGATCAAGCTACTGGTTATATTTGTGGGTATTATTCTGATAGTGCTTGGTTATAAAGTTTTCGTTGCTTCTGTCCATGTGTTTAGTTTAAGAATGGCTAAGTTTGTTTTTTAACTTTGCAGAGTACAGATGCCAATTCAAACGTGAGGAAAAGAATGAATGCCACAGTGCAGTCCGAAGCTGATGGTGGGAGCCGAATTGACACAAGGCACAGCTCCATCCAGCCTCCCTCTGTAGCTCAGGGGTCTTCTGACATTTCACCCCGCTCCCTTTCTGCATCAAGTCCCAACCCTTTCACACGCATCAATGCATCAGAGACATTATCTTCTGCAAGAGCCACCCCTCCAGCTCCTCCTTCTACCCCAATTTTAACTGGATTTGTATCCCAGCATGCCACAGCTGGATCCCCTTCCATTCAGCACTTGCTTGGATCTAGACTGGAGCAGATTCAGACCACCACACCTAACACATTAGGAGCATCTGCAAAGCCATCTGCTGTCACACCACCTGCTCCCCCCGCCTCCCACTCTGGCACGAGTAAGATAGACAAATATGCACGCATTTTATTTCCTGTTACCTTCGGAGCATTTAACATGGTCTACTGGGTGGTGTATCTATCCAAGGATACCATGGAAAAATCGGAAAGTCTAATGTAGTTTTGCTGCTATGTAGTAGTTCCTAAATTATACTCACATTTGAATCAGAGTTTCTTCTTTTGAAACTATTTAAAAAGGTCAGTTATTCTTATTTATAAAAGCTGTGTGCTACTTTCCCATTGTAAAGGCTGGAGTTATTGGGGATAATTAGTTCACTCCTAGCAGAGTAATGGGTAACAGATTTGTCTTCCTCCCCTTCAGCTAGCAGGGAACCGTCACTCTTCAGACAGAGTATTCTGGCTACACAGAACTTGCCTTTGGGAGGAACACGGACCCCAAACGAATCAAAGGCAGAGGTGCACAGCTGTGCAGAGGAACACATCTTGACTGCTAGGAATACGCATGTTGATTATCAGAAATCCCTGGGGCACCCGGCACTGCTGTCTGGACACAGCATTGCATTCTCTGAGTGCAAGGCCCATGTCCTGAATATTTTGACAGTGCTTGCTGGGGAAGGACTTTCCCTGCTAGATTAAAATTGGCAGAATGGGGGGAAAAGAAATGAACTGTGGAAAAAGAAAAGAGAGTCCAGCCTGGGAGAGTGCAACTCCAGAAAAGTTATGCAAAGGAGTTGTAGAGCTCCATATATTTTTACTAAGCATTATTTTGTGTTGCAACCTGGGAAATTCTCACTCCAAAGTAAGAATGAGTGAACCCTGTAAAATCTGAAATCTGATGTAATTCTCAAAATTGGAGTGTTTTGTTTGGTAAGGTGATCTTAACTGTGTGGTTCTTCTTTGACCTTGCTGACCAGCTTAAGTGGATTTATTCCTAAATTACATCTGTTGCGGTAGAGGAGGACCAGGCCCACAATGTTCAACCTTTTATTTGAATTCTTTGTTCTTTCCTTTGGATGCTTTGGGTTTGTGTTCCCGCCTCCTTTTTCAGTCACACTCCTCTGATTTCCTTTGAACACATATTCCCCCCTCCCTGCCCCCCCAACTTTTATATAATGTTCAAGTCAGGTTAAATTTTCGACACAGTCTCAAAAGTGGCTTCAAAGTTAAGCAAAACAAATTTTCTTGTGCTTTGATGAGTGTGGCTATGACACATCTTTGAGTGAATGAGAAACACCCTTTTGTGAAGGAA